GTTTTTTGTGTGGTCGTGGTATTACACCGGGTGAGCCGGCCTATTCGTGCGAGATGTTAAAGCGGGCTCTACCACTGTCCTTTTCCCATATTTTTAATAGATGGTAGCCACGGATTTGTCCGATAGTGTTCCCGTAGTTTCACCATCATGCGTGAGAGGGCTTTTATAAAAAAAAAGATTTTGTGTTACCCTTATTGAGTCATAGTCAGTAATATTCCACTAAATCTTCACGACACCAAAGTTGTTAGTTTCACATTATTAGCACGCGCACAACTGAAACTAAACTATCGCACAACTGTTTAATTTCGCGTTAATTCCTATTCTTATCAGCTTATATGGAGGTGTGCAAACTACTCGATTTTTTTTGTTGTGCAACTAATTGTGAATTGGCTGCGAAACAATCGACAATCGCATAACAGTTTTACAATAACCAAAGGTGTGCGCTCGCTCGCGAAATGAAGTCAAAGAATCAAGAACTTAAGTAAAATGTAACAGCTTATATTACTTGCAATGTAACCTTTCAGTGTGCAGTGGTGCACCAAAACCCTTAATCCCAGGTGACAATAGTCACTACGTGGAGGGTGTCAGCCGCTATATATGGATGCCTGATGGTGAAGGTGTACCGCACCTGGTGGACTTAGAGGAACCAGTCGACGAAGAATTATTGAACTCTAGGAATGGCGCTAACAACCAATACTGGCTCTACACTAGGTAATTTATGAGAAATAAATCATTGACATTTTCTATTAATTTGCACTGTTACATGTTAAGTTTATTTCCAATGATAAACCATTATTCATATTAAATTATCTCCCTGGCCTTATGCCATTCAAATATGGTAGTTCGATACCACAAAATAAAATTTGGAAATAATTGAATATATACATGCTTAAAAGTAGTAAGATTTAGGTATTATGTTTTATTACATTTATTTATGAACCGTGACATTCTCGTTTTTATGTAAATTAATAAAAGAATGAAGACACATCTAGGAATAAAAAAGATTTCATAAAACGAATTATTGTAATGTTCTTTTGGTTTCAGACGCAATCCCACGAATTCGCAAATTATTACCAACGGTAATGCAAACTCTGTGCGTAACTCCAACTACAACGGTAACCGACCCTTAAAAGTTATCGTCCACGGCTGGAACAGTGATGGAAACTCTAAAGTTAACCCTCTCGTCACCGCCGCTTTCCTCGCCGTCCAGGATTGCAATGTTATCGTCGTTGACTGGCGACGACTTGCTAATTCTAACTACGTGACCGCTTCGAACGGTGTCCGTGGTGTTGGAGAATTCCTTGGCAACTTCTTGACATGGCTTCTTAGCACGGGTGGTGGTAACTGGGACAACGTGCACTTGGTCGGCTTCAGTTTGGGTGCCCATGTTGTCGGCAACGTCAGGCGTACTGCCGGCGGCAGACCCAGACGTGTCACTGGTAAGGATTTATTGTAAACTTTCATACATTTAGATATTCTCCCACTCTAAATTACAAAAAAATTATCTATTAATTATCTAGTCTAGCCTATATTACATCAAATATTTTAACATCCCATTTAACAAATCTATCTTTTCTTTTACTTATATAACGTAAAAATTCTGCCCAATGTTTATTTTCAAAATGATTTTAATAAAAAAAATGATTTTATTAAAAAAAAATGACTTTGGTTTAAAAAAAAACAGACATTTAAATAGACGTATCTACTTTTTAGGTCTAGACCCTGCTGGCCCCAGATTTGGTGGCAATTCGAACGCCTTAAACAGGAACGGAGGCCGTTACGTTGAGACCATCCACACGGACGGTGGACTTCTTGGCATCTTTGATCCCATAGCTCATTGCGATTTCTACCCCAACGGCGGCAGGAACCGACAACCAGGCTGCTCGAACAGCTCTTGTTCCCACAGCCGTGCATACGAGCTCTTTGCTTCCACCGTACGCACTAACCATTTGGTTGGAAGACGCTGCAATAATTTAAATGACGCACAAAACAACCGCTGCACTGGTGGAAACCTTAACATGGGCAACGGCATAATAAACAAATCTGGGTAAATACATTCTCCATACTTTCTGAAAAGTACTTAGCTTCACCGATATCTGAGTTAATTTATGTTTTGTTACAGAACCAATGGACTTTACGGCCTCACAACGCGTGCTGCTTTCCCCTTCTAAACCAACGAAAATTATCAAATAAATGATCATAAATGAATCTATGACTTTTTCTTTCAAATTTAACATGAAATTGATAATAAAATTAACGGTAATAACTAAGGCTTTTTCAATAGCAAATTCACAGTAGAGTAGCTGATACTCGCGACCTCGTCTACATACAAACTATGATATATGTTACTAAACGATAACGTAGCTTTCTAATGATGAAAGAATTTTTGAAATAGACTCAGTAGTTTTTAGATCGTTTCAATACATATAAACATAGAAATCTTTCCTCTTTATATTAGTACGAGCTGTTGCCCGTGACTTCGTCCGCGTGGTATTAGAAAACATACGAACTATATAAATTACAAAAAGCTATGTATCCCTCGGGAACCGGACATTTCTCTGGGATGAAGCTTATCTCATGTGTACTCTAGACTTTGTTTTATATCTGTGCCAAATTTCAAGAAGATATGTTGAACCGTTGCAGAATGATCGAGTGAACATTAAAAAACTAAATTAATGAATCCCACGGGAACCGTAACTATTCCCGGGATAAAAAATTGCCTATGTGTTCTTCCAGACTATGCTCTAAACATGTGCTAAATTTCTTGGAGATCCGTTCAGCCGTTTAGGCTACAAACGCTAACAAACATCCATCTATCCATCCATCCATCCATCCACCTAAACTTTCGCATTTATAATATTAGTAAGATTAGTAAGATAAGTGTAGATTTCTAAAACGAAATCTCCAAAATAAGATATTAGGTTTAATCACATTTTACAAACAATATTAATCGAGTCTCAAACCATTTTTATTGTCTTGACCTTTTTTTTATACTTAAATATCTAGGGGCCAATATCGAGGAGAGTAGATTAACTCGAAAATAGTTTATCGTATCTCACACGAGGTGATTTAGATCCCGACCCAACCATCCTTTAGCTTTTTTCCGTGGTAATCGAAAAAGAAATGAGAATAAATCGTTTAAATTTTCAATAAAGTCTTGGAATTTAATTATATGAACATGAATTTGAAATACAATATACTAAAATTATAAAGATTTGCATTTTTGTATGTATTGAAATAACTCAAAAATGGGCCGATTTCAAAAATCCTTTCACCGTTAAAAAGTTACGTTATCAGTGAGTAACTTTATTATTATTTATACTATTATAATAAAGCGTAAACGCACACTTCTTTGTTGCCTAAGATGTCAGAAATTAGAGCATATTATTGGATAACTCTTCCTTTAATAAAAAGCCCTACACTTCCGTTACGCTTTAGGCTATATATTTCACGCCATTACACTTAGGGGTAAATATTTTGAATAAAAACCCTAATGTGGGAATAAAACCATAAGTTGCTGCCAACATAAAGGAAGCAAGGTTGTCATGGTTTGTCATCATGTCATGTCATTTTGACATTTGCAATTGATAATTTGACACATGTAAACAATAAATTGAAATTTTCATAATTCAATGCGGTTAAAGTCGCAAGGGAACAGCTCGTAATTTATACCAGAAAGTATACTTTTGTAGCGCCTTTAGATAATCTCAAAACTTTAGTAAAAAAAATTTGCGTGTGACATTTTCTGTGTATGAAAAAATGATAATTTAAAATACAAACTCAAATCAGGTGGCATGGCAATCAAAGTGATGCCTTTTTAGAACGTTATGTAACGAGACTTGAATGCGTAACTTTGTGATTGGTAAAAAAAACTTAAAACCCAATTTGATTTTTATTTAAATTAAGTAGCTAAATTTAGCGCAAATCGCAAAGGAATAAAGTAAGGCAAAAAGTTTTTTCAGAATTTGCCTCCTGATTGCAAAATCTAATTCCGTCGCCGAGTTAAATTAACTTCTGGCTCGTTCTTGTAATGATGGAAACTAACTGCGATTTAATTTATTTGACCGCAATGAAATAAGAAAATTTACTTCAAATTTACTGGGTACGGAAATTTATGAGTTACTAGCTATTCCCATGCGACTTCATCCGCAAAAAATTATAAAATTTCATTTTATTGTTCACATTTGTCAAATTATAAATTGCAAATGTCAAAATGACATGATATGATGTCAAACCAAGACAACCTTGCTTCCTTGATGTTGGCAGCAACTTATGGTCTCTTTCCCACATTAGGGTTTTTATCTAAAATATTTACTCTTAAGTTTAACGGCGTGAAAATATATAGCCTAAAGCGTGACGTAAGTGTAAGGCTTTTTATTTTAAAAAAGATTAATTAAAAATATGCTGTGATTGTTGACATCTTAGGCAACAAAGAAGTGTGTTTTCCCTTTATTATATTAGTATAGACATAGATTTTTAATGACACAGTAACGTAAAATGTATAAAAAAAATAAAATAAAACAAGTATTAAAGCTTGAATCCAAAATTGAAATGTTAAGATCGGGCGGACATCTTTATTAAACTGTCGCACAACAGTTTTGCGATTGTCAACTGCAGCCCTTTTCAACTGTTTATTTGAACAACTAAAAATCGAGTAGTGTGCGCACCTCCATATAAGCTCATAGTAAAAAGCGCGACTAAACAGTTCTGCAATACTTTAATCAAAGGTCTGCGCGAGCTCTAACTCGCCCAAAATTTCTGTAATCCAATCAATTTTAATTATAAGGTGTGGTATAAAAAAACAAAGCAATTTGAAAGTTTTATTACTATATACCGGTTTCTTAGAAAATACGTTCTATAATAGGCTTAAGTTGTCGGGCTATGATTCTGCTCAGTTGTACCTGAAATCATGTTAATTTGTTATTACAGCAAGCAATTCATAATATCGATGGGTGAATGACTATTTGTTGTAAGCGCCATTAGGTTAAATGATCAGGAGAGCCATTTAAAAAAGATGAAAGCAAATACTGAAATAATTTAAATTGAAAGATTTCCAGTCCGGTTCTAAATTAAAATTACTATAATTCTGCATACTTCATTATTTATTTCATATATAAAACTCGCTGATTCTGAATATATAAGCCTTTCACTCGTCGATATAAAAACGTAATTGGACAATATTAATTTAAGCGCCATCTATTGCTGTAAGTGTGCATTTCAACAGCATTATTTCTCTACACTGTAAACTTGTTTGGTTCAAATTATGTTAGCAATGAAAATTACTTTGAGAAACTAAGAGGAAGGTAAACTTACTTCGTATTTCTCTAGAGTTATTGGCAGGGTTATTCTAAACCAGTTATTCACGACGTCGGAGAGGTCGCGGTCGTTGACTTCAATGTTAAGTTCCGACTGAAATCATTAAAAGTAATTTTTTTATTATTTTCAATTCGTTAAAAAATAAAAGATAAAACATGACCAATTTACTCAAAAACATTGGAAAAGTATTTAGAAATGAAAATATGATAGAATGTGAGAGTTGGAACTCTCCTATTATTAAGAATTTTAATTGTAGGTGTTCCGATGTAATTAACTCTTTATAATCTAGACTACATAACGCTACTGTGTAAAAGGGACTAGAATAACTAAGAATTGATCTTCAAAATTACAAATTACTTACTTGAATGTCTCCAATACTGAATGAAAATATCAAATGCTCGGCCAAATTGGCGAGATCCGCTTCAAGGTTTATACGAATATCGTTGACAGCCACACTGAAAATATTATTTTATTGATTTAAGAGTTAAACGTACATATTTAGTGATCAGTTGACAGCACATATTTTAAAAAAACTAACAAAGATCAAATATATTATCTATACCAAAGGAATTATGCAAATGTATCCAAGGATTAATCAATACAGAAAAATCTTTAGAGTTTAATAAATCACAATACATTTTAATTTAATAAAACATTTACTAACCTTCCACTCAATTGACCCTTAAGATTACGGTTAAAGATGCTAACATCCGCAACAGCATTATCTAAGATTAAATAATTTTACTGTTATTATATATTATAATTTTATTTAATAATAGCCCACGAGTCCATCTGCGTGGAATGAATAAAAACAAAACTAATGAGCCTGTGTGCTCTTCCAGATTATCCTCTATATCAATGCCAAATTTCATCGAGATCCGTTTAGAAGTGTATGCTACAAACTCTTAACAAACATCCATCCATCTAAACTTTCGCATTTAAATGTTAGTAAGATTAGCATAGTTAAGCATCGGGGGCTTGGTAGGACTGATGACTTGTCTGCAGGTCATGGGTTTGAATCCCGTTGTATCTAAATGTGTTTATTAATTTTAGAATTTAATATGTAACATGTACCCGAGTGTGATAGAAAACATCATATATCTGCAAATAAATTGAAAGATATGCCATCCAACCCGTATCCAGCGATGTCTGTGACCCAGTCGACCCCTAACTTATGGTAGGCTACGACACGTCAGTGGGGATATATAATGAGCTGATGATAATAACGATGCCAGTTGATAGAAATAAACGAAAACAGAATCTTACCTATAGAAGCCACAAATCCAATAAGGCGTACTTCAACATTTAATGTGGTAACCACGAAACCAATATCTACGATTTCAATGTCACTAAAACCGGATAACAGAAAGTTCTCAACAGAACCAACAGCTGAGAAGACTCTGTGAAGAACAAAAAACATTGAAAATTATTTTATCTTCAACGCAATTCATGCAAGGTACGTCATATACCCATCATCATCTTCCCTACCTTACCCTACTTCCGGTTTTCATCCTCCAGATAACTCTCTTATGCGTCATCTTAGTCTTCACACCCTTCTTGATCATGTCACTTTTCATGCAATCCATGAATCTCTTTCTAGATCTGTTCAAAATCTAAAGCAGATAGGGACCAAAAAATATGCTTACCCAGGTACTGGAAAGATAAATTCACCCAAAGCTGATTCCGCTGAGTAAGGATCAAAAGATTTCGCCTGATGAATAACACCTTCAAGCATCAGGCGAACAGTCTCGTCAAGATTTCTGCCCGTTTTTAAATCTGAAAAATAGTGTCACCTTTGACTAAACTATCGCACAACAGCTGTGCGATTGTCGATTGTTGCGCAGCCAATTCAACTGTATATTTACACAACTAAAAAGCTAGTAGTGTGCACACCTTCGTATAAGTATAGGAAGTTCAAAGCGAGACTAAGAACTTGTGCTCTAAACATGAATGAAAATAGTCAATTCTCAAATTAATCTTACCATTTGTCTCAAGTTCAGATGGCAGAGCAGCAGCACTGGTCAGTAACACACACAAAGTGAAAACGATCGACTCCATTTAGGTGATTGCTATGAAGTAAAGTATCAGTGAAATTTAAACATAGATAATATTAAGAAAACACCGTAGTTATTTGACTTTTATTAAAACTTTTTAATTTAACTTATAAACAAACATGTAATAACACGAAATCATTTTAAAATTACCAAACTTACTTGATATCCTCAATGAGATTGTATTACCGATTGGGACATATACATATATAACGCTCATTCGTCATTCGAAAAATTAACAGATAACATCGATTACCACTTATCAATTACACTGAGCCACAAAAATAACAGGCCGGTTACAAACTTCGTAGATATCGAATATGTAGACAGGGCGTTGTGGAATAAAACTGTTTATAGAAAAATAATCGTTACGATGAAATTAAAAAACTGCATCATCATCAACTTGCACTTGTCGCTATGGAGGGTCGGCGCAGTATGTGTAGCTCTTCCATACATCTGTATCAGCCGTCATCTGATTTCGCTGCCTTCTTATACACATCCTCTTTTTCACAATCCGTCCATATTTTCTTCGTTCTTCCTCTAACCTTATAGCTATTGTTTATGTAACCATCATAAATTAAAAAAAAACACTACATTAGTAACTTATGGACACCCTGGTCTATGTTTGTTTTAAATTTTATCCCGATCTTTTAATCCTTACTTAAATTAAGTGCTGACATTCTATACATTCGAACTTTCGAATTCGCGTCATTCTAACGTGTCACATAATAATATGGTCAAAAACATTAATGATTATTTAATTAAAGGATAAATAAAATTGAAATCTCTTATAAACGCAGCCAACAATACTGTTTACAAGTGTACTGATATAAATCAATGTTATTAGTCATTCCTAGGGAAATAAGATAATATCGCTTATCGTGTCTGGGTTTTTATGACTATTCTTATGATACAAATACTTGAGGACGATTATGTTGAGAATATTAAAAACTAGCTGTACCCGTGCGGCTTCATCCACATGGAATTATGAAAATTTTATTTTATTGTTTACATTTGTCAAATTATCAATAGCAAATGTCAAAATGACATGACGTTACAAACCTTGGAAATCTTGCGTCCTTGATTTTGGCAGCAACTTATGGTCTCTTTCTCACATTAGGGTTTTTATCCAAAATGTTTACCCCCTAAGTTTAATGTCGTGAAAATATTAAGCCTAAAGCGTGACGTAAGTGTAGGGCTTTCTATTAAAATGTTCGTGTTTTCCAAGTAACATCTCTTATAACAAAGTTTAGTCAGTGTTTTAATGTTTGCATATATTCATAGAATATTTATTAATAAATCAATAAGAGTTCAAAAGATTTCCACCCCATCTGGGATATTTGTCCATTAAATATTTACAATGATTTACTTATAGAACAATCGAGAACAAGACCAATTCGGATAATTACAAAATACAAATTGAATAAGTAGTCTAATTGCTAAAATAGGCAAGATAATTATTCTGCTCGTTACTTGTCAAAGATAAGAAGGTCGTTTAAAATAAATCATTCAGATTTGTGGGTCTATTAAAATGATTAACAACTTTCAATTTAATAGATATTGAATTACATTTTTAATTGACAAATATTATTTTAATGTTGTATGTGATTTGTGTTTATTTTAAATACCGGCGTTGGTAAAAATATTCTTATTCTTGATTTGAAACTCTGGGTAAGTTAGTAGTAGCTTTATTTTATTTAGAAGGAAGCAGCGAAGTATCTAACCTATATCAATCGACCCCCAACAATCTCAATAACAGAAGAACTGCAGCTTACTTTTAATATTTCTAATGTACGAAGTATGGAATTCAATTATTATTGCAGGTATCTGAAATTCTCCAATATGAAGACAATCGTATTTGCTGTCGTGGCACTATTGGCCACTGCCAACGCTTGGCCTCAACCAATCCGAAACTCAGGTAAAACTTTGCTTAAATTTAATTATTACTTATTTAACTGTAACTATTTTAAGTTTTTTTACTATTTTAGACTCAGAAGATTCGAGCTTTCTTCGAGAGGTTATCAATGAGGTCGTCTACTATATTAGTGAGGCGTTCAAACAGAATGGACTTGACCCGTACGTCGCGAAAAAGAAGGAATACACCTTTATCGGGTAGATAAGCTATAAATTTTCGTTTGAAATATGTAATTCTATATTTTTACAATATTAAGGGGTCTCTCCCACCACTGACTGATAGAGGCTCAGATAGCTTAAAAATGACATCACTGTCAGATAAAGTAACAAAATCCGATACTTTCATCACATGTTTGACACATTGGATTGTTATCTGACAACTAGCTGTTCCCATGCGACTTCATCCTCATAAAATTATAAAAAAATCATTTAATTGTCCACATCTATTTGTAAAATTTTCTATTGCAAATGTCAAAATGACATGACATGATGACAATCTTGCTTCCTTGATGTTGGCAGCAACTTATAGTCTCTTTCCCACATTAGGAATTTTATCCAAAATATTTACCCCCTAAGTTTAATCTCGAAAATATATAGCCTAAAGCATGACGTAAGTGTAGGGCTTTTCATTTAAAAAAGAATTATTCAAAAATATGCTGTAATTGCTGATATCTTAGGCAGCAAATAAATGTGTGTTTACGCTTTATTGTAATAGTACAAGTACAAAGTACAGATTTACAAAAATTTGATAGGACTGACTGTTAGTTTTATGTTTGTTTTAGCGATAGGTTCTTGGCCAGTGGTCGCTATGATAACTTCGTGTTCTCAGGCCTCAGCGACATCCGTGTCAACTCCGTTAGTTTATCGGGCTCTGATATCAATGTTTACATTACTCTTCCTAGAATTGCAGCTAATTTTGGTAATGTATAGTTTGCATTTCTTATCTAAATGCTTTAATTGTAATAACGTTTTGTTATTATTTCAGTTGATAAAGTCAGTAAGCAATCGTTGTTCATCTTTATTTCAGACAATTTTGTTGGTGACCTGACTATTGGAAATAGAAACTTACGAAGTGAATTTAGCGGAAGGTATGTGTTATTAATTAAATTTGTTTTAATACATACTATTATAGCTGTTGATCCTGACTTAGTACGCGATAATTTAAAAAAAAATGCAGCTATGTTACTCACAGATTTTTTTTTAACAGTGAAAGAATTTTTAAATTCGGCCAGTAGTTTTTGAATTTTTTCAATACATACAAAAATGCAAATCTTTCCTCTTTATAATATTAGATTAGGATTACATGGGATACAAGGGCGTCGGTGGCTCAGGGGTTAAGCATTTGACTTGTAATCAGGAGGTCCTGGTTTCGAATCCTGTCATATACCATGTGATATTCAGTTTTCTACGGAGGACTATGGCCAAGTCACTCCTAATATAGGGTAGGCGCAGTGCTACTCAGTGGGGACTTATAGTGAGCTGGTGATGATAATGATAACAATTGAATTGTATTTATAAAAGTTTTATAACTAAGATTATGTATGGAAACTTGTAAATGACATTAAGTATCTTTCTCTTTTTGTTTTACAGCGTAGCACTTGTCGACCTTCGCTTGGATGCACATGTGTCACTGGAATTCTCCGATAACGTTCTTGACGATTTGAACATTTCATGGCACGTTGGAAAAATTGAAGTGAGTTTCTTCTCTTTCCTTCTTGTTTACTATTATTGTGCAGAAATAATCACTATGATAATGTGGTAATTAAATCTTTTTTTTTTAGTCCAATTTCAAATCTTTCATTGTCCAAGGGCGCGATGTGACGGCCAGTGTTAACAACTTTGTGGCCAATATCTTGCCTAATCTGCTAGAGCAATACAAGGTAATTTAGAACTTACATGTATTTTAAGAGTGTGCGCATACCTGAAAAGAAATTACCGCACTATTAGTCTTGCTTTGATTCCGATGAGTTGATATGGAGTTGCGCACATTACTAGATTTTTAGTTATGTAACCATAGTTTGTCTAAATAAATTAGATTAGTTTGATAAATGACGCATATGAAGTATCGAATTCAATTTGTATGTAACAAAACAAACACGCAGCGAACAATTATGAACTATCGATATTCGGTTTAAATAATTATCGAACTCAACTAAAATTAATATGTTCTTATTAACTAATTTAGAGGATAATTCTATTATTGATTATAGTGTTGAGAATTTAGCGATGACAGAAATAATAGCGAAATCCAATTCGATAACGTACGGCTGTAGTAGTAATAAACATTTGTTTACTTTCATTATCTGTTATGGTCATTATTAATTTGAGAAAAGTGTTTTTTTTTATTTCATAAGTTATAATAAAAAATATATAAATCTATCGAATCCAACTTCTATAGAATAAAAATCGAAAATCGATAAGATTCATGACTGATTTTACACAACCCATCCCTACTAAATTTGAAGTGAATTGTCAAACTAATCTAAATTATTTAGACACACTATAAGCAGTAGAATTGGCTGCGAAACAATCGACAATCGCACTACAGTTGTGATCGCACAGCGCAAAACTATCGAGTTTAGTCAAAAGTGCACGCCCGCTCTAAGAGATATTGTTGCCAATACTACCGTATACTATTTTATGAACTCGTTCTTTTTCAGGAACCCATTGACCTTCTCATCGAAAATGCACTCTCGCGCTAACCGAGCGCCTCTTGCACCTTTAATTGTTCTTGTATTATTGAAAAAATAAGTTTAATAAATGAATCTTCTGAAACAATACATTTGGTTTTTATTAAAAAACACTTGTCTTTCATTTGCTTAATTACCTGAATACTATTACACTAAATAAAATATA